GGTTAAAATAGGACTTTTTGTCTCTCAAGCCCTCTCTCTTTCCATGTGCACATTTTTTGTCTCAGTTATTGTAGACAGTCTCACCCCTCCCACCTCTTCTTGTGAATAAAAGAGGCTGCAGCTGACCAAGAGGTACAGTGACTTTTGGGCCCACTTCTTGTCTCCCCGGGCTACTGGGGAGCCCTGGCTCCCCTGGGAACCTCCACGCAGGCTGCGAGCCTGGCTGCAGAACATGTCCTCTCCTCCGGGCAGAAGCAGCTGGGATGCTGGTTTCTCTCGGGAGGTGGCAGCACAGCCAGACGCCATCAGGGTCTGCAGCTCGGCGCCCAGAGCTGCAAAGGGGTGGCAAGGGAGGAGGGGCGGTCGGTGTTGGATTCCTTCTGAGGTGGAGCTCCTTGGGGTGGGGGGGGAGGATTTGGACGGGCAGTGCAGGGGTGTTGAGGCACAGGAGGAACGGCTTCTAACCCGTTCGTGTGGATTCAGCCCAACATTCTCGCTGTAACGCGCTGGAGTCTGTTGATCCCGGTCACGTTTCTCTGTTATCGGCTGCTGCTTCTTGCCAGGCGTGGTGTGGGGCTGGGATGCCCGCCGTGGGGACGGTGTCATTTGTTGAGACACACCCCCAGCTGCTCTTTTTCACGCGTGGGGAAAGGCTGTCTGCAGGAGATTGGGCACAGTCAGTAAGTTTCCAAGCCCCTACTTACCTGCAGGCTGCCACGGTGGTTGTGTGTCCTTTTAGCTGCAAGTTACCAAGCAGCTTTAGGTAAAATGCCGTGAGAAAGGAAGAGTGACAATTAGTCACCATCTCATTAAATGCTACAACCAGCTCCTGTGTCAGAATCTCATCTTTTGGTTTTGGTTAGATTTTTGGGGGCTCAAGGCTCCATTTCTCTCCTGAGGTTTTAGTAATGGACTGCAAAGCTAGGGGTACTGTATGGGGTATAATGTGACCATCATCTGGAAAATGTGCACAGAGGCAGGGGGTTTGGGTTTCTGCAGAAACCAAGCACAGCCTGGTCCAAAAATCTATGGAATATATTGCTTAATCTACCCCTCTGGCTCTGTTCTTTGAATTCAGCTTTCCTATGCCAAGCACACTGAATCAGCTGGGGATGCTACAGAGCCTCGGGTGGGAGGTTGTTTGCTTCCCTGGTGAGCTCCAATAAGTTTCATGACAACACATAAGGACAGCAAATATCAGTTTTGCCCTTATAGTAATTGGTGAATGCTGTCGTGGGTTTGGGCATCCAAAAGCAAAGGGTGCTAGAAATCACAACTTAGACAATTCAAATGTTTCTAGTAGCATCAGTAACTGGAGGAGAGCCAGCCAGCCCTACATTCCTTTAAAAAGTAATAAAATGCACTTGATTTTTACTCCTTGGTTTGCAGCCACTGAATGGGAACTAGTTTCATACACCAGGTAGTTCCTAGTTGATGCTGCTTAGGGCACCACTGAAGTCACACCTTAAGCAGGCAGCAGTGAGAGGGTGAAGCACAGAAAGGCAGCAGAAAAACCTGAGGTTTCTAAGAACTTAGAAAGGGGCCACCTCCCTTTTGCCCACAATCTTTGCTCCTAGAAGTCTCAAAAGGCCCTTCCCTAATCATGACTCTATGGAGAAGGAAAGGTGTTGCTCTAAAGAGTATTTGAAAGCATTGCAATTGTCTCTTTCAGACCAGTTTCTTTCCTGAGAGTGACCCGAGCACCCCAGAGAGACCCTGTCTGTGCTGAGGATGAGCTGTGACAGCACAGGACCCTAGGTTTGGAAGTGAAGCGCACTGATCACCAAGTTGTTGGTACCTAGTCTTTTGGAATGATTTTTGACAACTGGGAGTTCGCCTCATTTCAATTGGGACTAACCATATTCAGAGCAGTTGTCACGTATCACTCAGTCCCTCTGTCTCCCTGCCTTTTCAGCTTGGCAGTCTCCTCCTTTACCCCTGCGTGTCCCAGTGATTTGAAACAGGATCCATTCTTCAAAGCATCCCTGATAATTTGGATCAGTGTTATATTTGAGGCTGATGCTTTTCAAAGCTGCAGCCTTTCTTTCTGCAGCAGCTACTGACACCTCTCTATAACATATAGCCTTAACAGGGGGAAAAGTGCTCTGAGGGGCTGCACTTTTCTCAGTAGGAAAGAAATGTAGAGATGGCACTAAAATAAATAGAAAACAGGTAATTTCATGTACAGTAAAAAGAGTAGCTCAAACCTTTTTACGAAGTGCAGGACTACTAGGGAATACCATCACTAATTTCACTTTTCAAGGCACACTGGAGATCTCTTGATGCACTTCCCATTGTTGGATCTGCATACACAAATCAGTAAATTGTCCTTAAATAAGCATGCAGATGCATCTTCTATTCTGCACCATGTTTGTTACCTTTTCTCCTGAAAACACCACCACCTTTTTAGCAACACGTAACTCAAAATCTGCATTGCTGAATCCTTTTTGCCACCAGACAAAGAAAGATAAATCCAGGCCTTTATGATTGCTGTCTGAGTGGCTTTTACCCATGGCCAACCATCTCTCCATGGTGACATCAGCTGAGGTGGGAAGACTTGTAATTTTACAGTGCACAAGTCACTTAAAGTGAAACCAAAAGATGTTTCTCTGCTATACCCATGTCCTGCTGTACACGTTCACTGAATGTCTTGGATTCCTCCTGAGTAATGTCCTACTGGGGACATTGCCATACACACGTGGGGTTGAAATTCATGCTTCTATTAAAAAGAGAACCCTGTGCATTCTCCTTTTCTTCAAGGTGAAAAATCAGCTTTCCCAAGCACCCCCTCCCCCCATTTTCAAAATACCTCTTCAAAATGGCCTTCACCCTCACAGTCCTGAATAAAAAGCAATGGGAAGAAAACCTGAATCTGTGCAGCTTCATTCTATTGTTAGCAATATAAGACACATCTAGAGGTGTTAAAGGGTGTATAAATGAGAGGGCATTTTTCTTCTTCAAACTTATTTTCACTCTGTGTGTGTATGTGTGCAACTTTCAGGCTCAGCCTGACCCTTCAAACACTTAGGTTTGTGCTTAGCTCGAGGCACAAGTGCAACCATGAATCCCACTGAAAGTGATTCCAGCACATCCAGGGCAGCACCATCTCATCCTTATCTAACCCTTCTCCAGGTTAAGACTGTCAGACACCCCATCCCAGCAGGCACTGAATCACAGGTAAAAGCCACATGCATGCAGCAAGATGGGTAGGTTGGAGGTACACTGGGACTGTGCTGCTCGGCCCCAATGCTTATGATCAGTACAACACAGATACTGCTTGCCTGTGTACATGCAAAGAAATGCCCTTTCTCCCTCCACCTTCCTGCATCCGAGTGTAAACACGGATTTGAAAGCACCGATTCTGCAGAGAGACGGCAGGTCTGCCAGGCCGCGCAGAGCTGGGTGACACTCCAGGCCCTGCTGTTGTGCTGCTGGGGAGAATCTTCCCCTCACTCCCCACGCCCCGAGGACAACTATCACTGACCTTCCCAGAAAGGCACTCTGAGCTGTACAAACGGAAAGGGGAAGTTCCCAGCTGGAACTCCCATGCCCGTTGTCTTCGTCTTCGCGGAAACACAGAGCGCTCGGGCGGCTCTAGCCCTGCCAACAAACCCCACGCCGTTTATAACTGTTGTCAGCCTAATTCACGCGCTGGAAGCCCGCGAAGCGCGCGGCCTGCCTCTGGCCGCTTTGGCGTCCCATTTAAAAGAACCAACAGCGGCAACACCAGCGACCCCGCGCCGTTCTGCGCCGGCGGGAGATCAATTAACGGGAAGCGAATAAAACCCCCACTCAGGGCCGGAGCCCTTCGGTTCGGAGCAGGAGGAGCCGCGGGGCCGGTCCCAGTTCCTTCCCCACCCCCCGCCCGGCCCC